TCAACCTTGCACGTCGTCCACTCTAAAGCCGCCGACGGCACATAGCTTATTCAATGCTCTGGTGACACCAACACATTAAGGAGTATAGTGATTTCCTATTTATTTTAAGCTTGTACATAGGCTTAACAATTGCGATAGACTCCTCTGCCCTTGTCGAGATACAGTCCACTTTTATCCTTGCCTAAACCGCCCATAGTGCCCTCACCTCTTTATCTCGAATTACACGCCTCATGCTTTCCCTCCCTGTAGGGACATGCACATACTGTCTCAATTCATGCTCCTGTTCAGTGTTCTAAACGCCAGTGTCATGGCTTCTGGTCCAAGGCAGTGACTCTCATGTTTATGCTAAGCCTGTTTCTCAAATCATTATGTTTGTTAAGATTTGGATGAAGTGTTCAGAGATGGTTGGAACACAATCTATACGTTTAGTTCTTACACAAACTGTAGGTCTTCTTCTAGAGCTATTACTCACTCAAGAATCTTCTAGTTAGGAGTTCCCAAGGGGAGAGGCAGAGTATCGGAGAGTTGAGCGGTTATAGCTACTAATAGGTTAAGATGGTAACACCTCGTCTCTGGGCGACAGCTCATGATGACTATTCATCCACCCCCCGGATCATCGATGGGATGATACACAGTGTCAAGATATATTTCAGTTCTTAGTCTAATATATACCAGGTGCCATAAGTTCTCAAAAGTAAATATTCTTTCTCAGCTTATTTCTCATTCCATAATCTAGCACTGGGAGTGCTTGGCTTTAATCGCTGCAACCGCTCATCGCCATAGTGAGCTCAGAGAAGCCTTACCACAGAGACTTTGCCAAACTCTAAGAAGAAGTTAGAATACTACTTTTACTATATGATGTTTCTGGCTACCCAGTCTTGCTAAAGATAACGGTATATTTCATTAACTAATGATAGACATGTTGCCAATATACAATTCATCTATAAATCTCGACAGCTTATCTAATTCGCCATAATAAATATCTTATATAAGTATAACGCTACTATTAGCCTAATAATGCGGGATCGTACTGTCATGGAGAGGCACTCTGGTGTATCCGACAATTGCAGGCATATGCGGGCTGAATCCACTATCACCTGGACGTGATTTGGACTATCGCCCTATTTGCGAATGGCCTTGTAACTGAGGAATCTTGGATCCTCAGTACGGCAATAGCCGTCATAGTCTAATAAGAAGTTGTGGTGAACAACTGGTATTTGTTGCTTCTGTTCAATAGACGGATCGATTTTGAGATGACTCTCGGGGCCCGTTGTGAACATGATCTTAGTGAAGATCAGATCAGTTTCGGAGCTAGTCTTGTAGATTTAGGTCAAGGAAGAAAGAAAGAAAGATATTGATTTATGTCTAACAGGACGGAATATGGTAATATCGGATAGGTTATTGTCTCTACTATCTGCCACTGCCACACCACTGCACACAGCCATGTAGAAATCGACAGCACTTTCACAAATCTGCCTCATTGCTAGTGTTTGTTATTGTTTGCACTGTACAAAACAATTGCTGCAAGATATCTGACCTTGACAAGCCTGGACAAGAACAACACAATGGATAACTAGGCAAGTCAGGTATCAAGTGATCCATGAATTCTTGGATAACCTGTGTGTGGAAATTGACACTCAGTATGTTCCTCAATACTAGGTGAATTGACCTGGCCACAGTATTTCGACAATAGACCATTACTTAGAGGAGTCTATTTTAGTTTAAGAGAAGGTGTCCATGATTATCTTGAAGGGTGCTTTGATGAAGGTCGTCATGCCTCGATTTCGGAATGACGGTGTTGATACATAGTAATCTTGTCTACGGTTGATGGTTCCGTATTCCTTGATCGGGCTTTTAGAATCTCCAAACTTGTAGGGATTTAGCAACGAAGCCACGAAGGCCTTCTGAAGGGGTTTCGGCTACCCTCAATGCATACTTCCCTATGCAAGCCTGCCCGATAGTCTTCAACTATGTGCCCGGCCTCGTAGGATATTCGACGAGGTGGCAATTTACTTACCCTTTGAGTGAGTTGATTGAACAACGAAGTTCTTAGCCCTCTTGCCTTCCCCATGGAATCCGCTACCACTTATGCGTCATTAAAGGGATTAGGTGACTTTGTGACGAGATGTGCCAGTACATAGTGGCCATCTTCATTTGTGGATAAGCTCGAAATGATCAGATTCAAGAGAGGTGCCTCAACGGGATGAAAGCTAGAAAGAAGGAATGTCACGATAAAAATTTCGTTTTTATGGATGTATGCTAGGCTTATGGATACTCGCTTGCGACCAACAACTGTTGCTCCGTTTGAAGATGGGTTGTCGACTACCTCATGGGGCTTCTCAGAGCAGCAGGTTTTATGGTCAAGCTCATATACCTTTAGCACCACTATATATCTTCTGAATTATGGTCACATTAATTGGGAAAGTTGAGTATGGTCTTGTGAGCAAAAAGGGTGACAGTTGATCCATATCCGTTTGCTATGCCTCAATACTCAAGAGGGTTGTGGGTCAGCTTCTCTTGATGACTTGCAGAACAATACGCAAAGATAACTGATTCACTTACTTTCTAAGGGCTATATCAATGTTTTTCAGTGGTGAATAATAACAATATGCGAGTTGGGGGGTTTTCGTGCTGGGGGTCACTTCTATTGACACTGCGTGCCAGTGTGATTCACCTCATAATCATAGTATCTTTTTCTGCCTCCGAGAAAGGTATTTAAACTTCTCTTCTCCTTCATAATATTCAATTCTTGAACGAGAGCGTATGTCTCGATCTTCGGTCAGTTTTGTTCTCTTTTCATCCATTACTAGGCACCTTTGTCAGGAACTAACCATAGTCTAGACTCGTGATACGACAGCATCGGGAGCTCCCAGAAGATATCAACATGGCAGAAGCCACGATTGCTCAGCAGGTTTCGGGAATGTTCGCCGAACTCAGTGCATTTCGAAAAAGCGACGTGGCACAAAAGAAAGAAATCGAGAACCTCGAAGCCCAAAGAGACTTCTACGCCAACGAGGCAGAGATGCTCAGAGACCTTCGCATTCTGTACGAATCCAAGCTCGAACAGAAAGACTCTGAGATTTTGGGCCTGCATGTCCTCCTCGACAAGGTCAAGGTCGATGCCGATATCTGCAGAGACGATCTGAGCAAGTTGCGTAAGCAGCTCAAGGACCTGCAAGCCAAGTATGAGACAAGCCAGAAACAAATTTGCGCTGGTGAGGCCAGGTTTACCCGCCGCAATCTCCAAGTCACCAACTTGATCTGCGCCCTGCGTCGCAAAATTTCTACCAACCGCATCTCCGTCGTTGCCCTTCGCGCTGCGTACAAGGTTATTCCAAGCTTGGAGCAGAAAGCTCGGTGTATGAGGATTCTTTCTATGGCTAGGAAGTTTCCGCATCAGACTGGTATCGAGAAGGAGATGAAGGAGTGCCTGGCGGACGCTGGACTCTTGATCTCGTTTGACAAGAATGGTGCCATGGTTCTGACACGATCTGTGGAGGTTGTCAAACTACCCGTTAATGGGTATAAGGAGTTTGAGGAAAGCTTCACCATCATCGAGAAAGATGCTAACATGACTGACGACAACACTTCCGATCAGCACCCTCAACAGAATGTCAAGAAAGATGAAGACGTTCAGATGTCTGTTTAAACGTCAGCAAATAACCACACTACTATCATGTGCTTGCTCCGAAGAATCTGGGAGTATTTGGACGTCAGCAAAAACCAGCTTCTGCTTGTAATGCTCAATCATTTGAGTTGATGAATTGGAGTTCACCACAAATGAGTCATGCTTGTTCGTTTGGAACATGATTGGGGTTCACCTGTACCAAGTTGCTATACAAAACATTGAGTTCTGGTTGGTATTTACTGCTAGCTTATTGCTTAACTACCTATACTCTCAAATAAACTAGCCGCCCATACATTACAAGTCGAGAGTGAATGTGTTAGGTTCAGACAATCTCGAGTTCCTCATGGTCTACTCTTTTTTCACTAGTCATTGCTGAAATCCATGTCGAGATTAGACTTGTTATGTGATAGCCTGCATAAATAACCTTGTCGATGTCTTGCATCTGACTGTTACATAAACATGATGTTCTTAGTCCTCGTCTCAAATATCAGGACTAGTTTCTGCATTGTTTTTCAAACAGTCAAGGCGAACAACGCAACTGTCCGCTCTGTTTCATCAGAATTCTTAGGCAAGACTGTCTTCTCATCTGCACGTCGGCGTTAAATCATGCTGGAAACAGTATGTTCTTCATCAAAACACCACGTATTGCACTGTCTGATACGAAAATGCTATCCTAGCGAGCCTTGTTTACATGAATCAACTACATGCAAGCTCCCGTCGTCAAGTGATAGACAAACACAATATACAACATCCTCAAACAGTAGGCAGCCGTTTTATCTCAAAACTTTCCCCTCATTTCATTATATCATAGATGGGAAATGTTTCTGGGGTTGGGTTATCTCTAATCTCTTTATTTTTCCTGTTGCCATCCGACGCCATCCGACGCCATCTCCGTTTACCCCGGCAACCTTGGAAGTTCAGTCTCCGACTGCCAGCCACCGCGATCACCAAATCCTCCCTCTAGAACCGGAAGATTTTCCAAAAATGATGTTGCTTTCCTTCAGGGGTTTCCCTGAGCCTGTCGACACAAATATCTATGCTGTTCAGTAAAGTACCTAGGCATTCATAGAGTAAAAACGCAGATATCATTCTCCTGCCTCTCGGGTGCATACAGGTGGTTATATCGGTACCATGCATAAGTCTCCTGAATTTGAGCTGAAATCTGCGTCTGCATGAGTATTCCAAGCAATTCATCCGTAAATATCCGATGAGTTTATTGTGGGAGGTAAGTGCAAGGACGCAGAAGGCATACTGCTTCCCTACTTATAGTCATCTAATATCTCGTTCGTTCTCGTATCTTGGGCCAGAATTCTAATCTGCATCAACGATATAGGTACTGTTTCAAACTCATCAATATCTTTTTCAACCCAAGATGGTCGAGTCTTTGTATACCACCACCCCTCAGCTTTCGCGGTTCGGGAAGCTCCCTCCAGAACTAACAAACATCATTATCGACCTGCTATCACCAGACTCTCTTGTCTCTATCCGCCTCTGCTGGCCTCATCTCGACGGATTAATCCTGTCTCGTCAGTTCAAAACAATTCGGCTTACATTCACTGAAACGGATATCGAGAGACTGCAGGCGATTTCATCGACTTATCCTTACTATGTCCAAGAACTTGTCTTGACGACTGCTGAAAGCCGTGACACGCACAGTGACAGATGGGTTCAAGTCTTTTCAGGCGGAAATTTTCACAGGGACGCCAAAGACTACCGTCGCAAATTCTTGGCTTGTGTCGATTCTCTGTCCAACCTGCACACTTTTACGTCTGAGCTGGGTCCTATCAGTGGAACTACCATAAAAGAGCATATCGACGGGCTTTTGTATGCCATATTTCCTGCTCTATGCCGCTCTTCGTCTCGAGTTACAACTTTAAGATGTCAAGACCCCCTGAACTATATGCGTTGGTTCTTGTCCAAGGTCAGGGCAACTTGGGGCCCTCCTAGAGGGATGATCAAGGCCATTCCGAGAATATGCACCGGGGATATTTGTACCTGCTGGCAAAGCAGTCCTCAACTTTCAAGGCTGAGCTCGTGTACCGCCCCGCCGTCTGGCAGAGAGACCGAATGGATATATCCCAAAATCCCCTGGGAGTGGAGGACTGCCTTACGAGGCCTCACAACACTTGATCTGCAGAATTACACCTCAGGCGGTAGCTGGAATTGCTTTGAACAACTCGGTGATAGACTTGTTTACTTTCTTGAGGGAGCTGTCAGCCTGCAAGAGTTGTCAGTCAGATGGAGACGGACTGATCAGATTGGATCTGCTGGGCGCCCTCTTATTCACTCCGGTTGGCAGTTGGAGCATATCTTCCGCGGAAGATAGAAACATCTCAAAACCCTCAAGCTCACATTCATCCAATTCACATTCTCCGCCAACCCTTTCAAGACCTTCATTCGACGGCATTCCAAAACTCTACGACACATCATGCTTCACAACTGCCGCAGCGACCCAGAAGTTATAAGCATTATCAAGTTTGCTGCTTCGTGCCCTGGTGTTAAACTTCATCGGTTCGCTGTCTTTCCAGCGCATGAGAGCCATCCAAGGGTTGAACTCCTGGATGAGTCATATCCGGATGGGGAGCAAGTAGTTGTCGAGAAACCTCGGATTATTCCAGAGAGTGCGGTACTCAGCTTCATCAACAGCAAGGACCCTCAGCACCTCGATCCGTTTGCCGCGTGGAAGCCTCTCGAGTATGAGTATTGGGGAACTGTCGAGCAGAGGGCTGAGTCGACTTCGATAAAATGGCCTGAGAATAACGGGATGGCCGTGACGTGCAAGCAGTGTAGCGACTAGTCTGGGAATAGCTTATTGTCCATATGGCAGAGTTCACCTTGAGAAATTGCCGGGGTTCATTCGGAGTCGCCAATGACATGGAGCTGGAAAACAAAGGGATATATCAGTTAGTTGGGCTGATGTTCATAGCTTCAGTAAAGAAAAGCGACACATTTTGATTCAAATAGCATATTACGCTATTGGCATAACTCTAACCGCATCCAACGCCAATTTCTAATCGTTATTTCATGGCCGTTTGGCCTGGCATTTGTATAAGGTGATAGGAGCGGAGTGCCTCGTGCGCATCGTGCCGGGCCGTTACTGGCCCTGTACAACTCCAGCGCTAGCAGCACTCTCTCCAACCTTGAGTTCCTCCTCGGGTACACCAACACCAACACTGGCTACACTGGCAATACTCTGTGTCGTCATGCCTCGTTCCCGCTCACCGCCTGGTCTAATGGGCAATCCCTCCCGAGGGCCTGCTATGCTGACTCCTCTAGCAGGGGTAACGCTCACGCTGGCACTAGTGCTTGCGCTTCCACTTCTGGGACGGCTTGCATCACTGGCTCTTCGTTGGCGGACCTGTCTCTCTAATTCTCTAATCTTTCGCTTGAGAGCATCATTCTCTTTCTTGGCAGTATCAAGTTCGTTTCTGTAATATGCTGTCTCTTCGTAACGCATGGTGGCAGGCATCAGCCCTGGGCTTAATTGCTCGCTCACACTTCCAGGGGTTGCACCGACTGAACTCGGTGGGATCGACGTAGGTGGGGGGATTCTCTGATGCTGGAAATAGTTGGACGGATCCAGGCTGCTGTGCTGAGGTCCGGGAGAATTCGTCAGGCTCCTTCGAGAGGCGGTACTATCCTGCCGTGAGAGAGGGGTAGCCTGGGACGGACGAGGCGCATGGATTCGTGCTTCGTAGGACGATGACAACTGTTGATTTCCAAGGCTCTGCGACGTGGTCGATGATGTTCTATGATGCCGAGCCGTAGGAATTGAGAAGCCCGAGCCCGAAAGGAGAGACTGTTCAGGTACATCGTGAGTTGAGTTGCCGGCAGAGGTAGAAGAGGTGTTGGAAACGACGGAGGCGTTTTGGGCAGCTCGGAGAAGGGAAAGCTCACGGGTCAAACGGTTGACCTAAAGATATTAGATGTAGCTGCCAAATCGAGGTCGACATCTTGTACTCACCACGGCCTCTTGCTCTTTTTCAAGCTGGAGATGAAGCTCAGCGGCGGTCAACGGACGAGGATGTCTTATCGGTCCAGGTCCCGGACCAACACCAGGCTCAGCCAGAACATTTGATGGAGCGTTATGAGTCGGTTGCGAAGCATTTAATACGGGCGATGGAAGAGAAGGCGAATGCGACGGGTTCACCGTATTCTGGTTGGACGGGAGGATGTTGAGAGATGGCGAAGCTGGGGCTGGCGGAGTAGCCATCTGTGTTGAAGACTGGCGACGAGAGGCCGCAAGAGTATGTGGAGAGGGGGGGACTGAGTTTAAATCCGGCATGCCGGTCATGAGGTCTGTATTTTGTATGGAAAGTTGATCGTTTTCTAGGTAGGTAAGCTTGGTGGAAAAGTAAAAGTAACGCGTAGTTGAATGTTGAGGTAAGCTCTGGCGCGTTGTTCATGACTGTCACCGTCACCGTCACCGTCACCGACGGGGCGAGCGGGGTCCAGCGGGCCGGTCACTAGCATGGGCCCGTTTGCACCGGTGTGCTGGACGCTAAAACACTGTGTGCCCCCTGGAGAGGCCCTGAAAGACTCCGACTGGCTGCGATGGCGGGGTCTTGAAAAACCGTAGGTATGAAGAGTGTTTGGTGAATGGATGTTGCCTACCCTGGAGAAGATAGTAATACCTTCATTTCAGGCTCCATCGCTTAGGTTTTTACTAGAATCATGGTAGTAGTTAAGGGCTATTGAACCAGTTTTGTTAGATTAATTAATTGCCCGTCGTGTTATTGGCGACGAGTTGAATAGGCACTTTAAAAAAAAAAAAAAAAAAAATTAATAAATAAATAAATAAATGAAAAAAAAATTGCCATTCAGTAAAGCTAACAGCATTGACATTGCAAGCTTGAGACTTGATATAACGAGCTTCCTTGAGCAATTGAACCATGAGTTAACAGACGAAGTGATATGAACGATTAAGAATATACGAACTGACGGATAAAAATCATCCTCTCAGTGATCCTTATCAATATTTGTCATCAATAATCAACCTCACAGTAAGCATGATAAACTCCAGAAACTCCCAATACAAGAAAGTGGGGAGCTTCATAGCACCAACAGGCTCTGACAGCTTCACACACTGAGAACAACTTATCCGCAGCTTCTCACTGTTCCTGAGCCAAAACCACAAAAGGCCCGTATCTCAACCCTCTTTCTGTGAATCATTGGCTCGCATCGTTACTCCATCAAAAAAATACCATCTCGATCTCCTTCCTGCCCATGATGTAATCATCCTATGACGGCATAGAATCCCACCTTCGACGTCAACTTGCAATCATTGCTTTCCACTTCTCGTACTTATTAACATCTCGCCTTTCCTCATCTAAGACCATCCCACATTCAAACAAACTCTTCACAAATTACTCAATCCCGAACCTTTTCACATACCAAACATCACAGCAATCATGCCTGAGGGACGTCAATCACCAGCTCCCGAGCAGCAGAGCGGCCGCCAGCAACAGGATCCTCCTGCCTCTGGTCACGGAATCAACAAGACTGATGACAAGGACCCCAAGAGCCAGCTTGAAGCAAGAAAACCGCCAATTCCAGTTTCGAACATGATGCTAACTATCTGCAGAACCTCTCATCCAACCCCAAGGGTATCACCGACGATATTGTGGAAGAGAAATTCTCCAAGACTGAGAAGAAATAGTCAGTCAAGTCAAGACAAAAATCCCAAATGAAACAGTCTTAACATGGGAATAGAGCAAACGATACCACGATGGTTATGAATTGATGGACAAGGGAATGCATAGAACTAATAAACCACGACTGAAATAGTCGCTTCATTTGAAACATTGTCCGCATCTCAATTGTAACATGTATGTGAATGTATCTTTAGTTATAGCTTACGTGCGAATGATGCTGCAACAGCATGGTTCATTTCATAAATCAAGAGATATTCATTTTCATATGTTACTATTCTCAAACTGTATGCTTCTGTCACGTTTCAAGACCGATAATCACGATTGAACGTGGATGGCAGAATTCATCTCGAATTTATTGATTGTAACATGCGTAAAAGTCGTAACAATTCGTTAACTAACAGGCTGCAACAAACCATCATATGAATTTCTCATCAGACCTCAAGAAATACCCCATTGCTTCCTCATTACTTCACGTCTCCCCGATTTTGATAGCTTAGTGCTTCTCGCCACTCTCAGGAGCGCTCACGCTGGGAACGTTGTCAGCAGAGGCGGCAGGAACTGATGTTCCTAGACTGCCCTGACCAGCCTCGGGGGCGGCGGTACCGGAGGTCTTCTCCTTGCCGAAGACCTTCTCGAGACCAGCGGCCTTGTAGGCGCTTCCACCGTGCTCCTCCTTCTTGAGATCAGCAAGGCGACGAGCCTCGGCGTGCACCTCTTGAACCTGTCGGCTGCCCTCGGTATAGAACTCGGCGATCTTCTTGCCGGTGGGTGTGTTGGAGGCCTTCTCAAAGTAAGAGCTGAGGCCGAGCCAGAGGCTGTTGGCGCGCTGGGTGATACCATAGCTCTCATCGGTGGCCTTGGCTCGGTCGGTAGCGTGGTACTTCTGGTCGAGACCCTGGAGGGTAGAGAAGAAGCGGTTGGAGACGTTGTGAGCGGCATCGAGGTCGAGGGCACGCTGGATGGCGGCGTCGCCTACGACATAACCGTGGGCAAGGTACTCGGCCAGGATGCGGGCGCGAGGCTTCTCCTCTTGGGTGATCTCATCGGAGTCACGATCAGCGTTCTTGGTGGCTTGGTGGACATCGTCTTCGCCGTCAGCGCCGGCGCTGGTGACCTCAAGATGGTTAGGACCAAGTTGGGTGTTGTTGAGGAGAAGAGCAGTCTTCTTGGCAGTCTCCTTCTCGAAAATAACCTCTGCGGACTTGGTCTCGCCTTCTTGGGTGACCTTGAGATCAGCGATCTTACCACTGGAGGACGTTAGCTGTGAAGCACGGAAAGTGAAGCGAGCAAGAGCTTACCAGAAGCTGAAGAAGTCCTTGATCTCGCTGTCGCTAGTGGACGAAGCGATGTTCTTGACGTTGATAGTAGAGTTGGCAGACATGATGAATGTGTGGTTATGCGTGTTTGTGGTTTGGTGTGGTTACTGAGGGGTATCAAGCTTGTTGTGTTGAAGGTTGAAGGTAGCAAAGGGCAGTCAAGTGTTTTTAAGGAGTCAAGGCAAATAAGAAGCAGGAATGACGACACCGTGATAGATCGTGACGAGGCAACGAGGCAGTGGCAGTGTGAGCAGGAGCTTGTGTGGATGTGGCTCCCTCATTCCTAGGTATTCCCTCCAGCTCAGACGACTTCACTGCGGGGCAGAGAGCGACGTCATCGACGGGTGCCATGTGCGATGGCATGATGTACTTGATGAGAACTACATGACCTCACACACAAGATAGGTAGTGGGACAAGTACCTTCTAGCAGCATCATGAATTGTTGAGATTGATCTCTTGGAGAACAGACTAAGGTAGAAGGAGGCTGTCCATGGTTGCCCTTGCGTCGTCTCTTGTGGCGAGGTGATGAGACACTTCTCAGACCAAATCAAGTTGCAGAAGAATGATTTGCTTTCCTTCTTTCACATGTGAAGGACCCTTTTTCTTTTTTCTTTTTTGGTCTGATCGTCTTTGCATATGATCATCGAGGCTTATCTGTTACCGTCTCAACATTATGCTCATAAGCCATACAAACAACACCACAAGATTTACTGTCTACGCGTCTTGATACGCGTTAACGGAAAACTGAATATCACACGGTGGCCTATCCTGAGGCGTTTACCTCTGTTCCTGCTTTTGGAACTTGTAACTGTGTCATTCGGAGACACTTCATGTGTTGGGTTTAGCATCATTAATCTGGGCGCTAATACTTTCTCTGTACTCCGTACAGTAGTTCCCGTTCGGTGGGTTAGGTACCGTGAGTTGCTAATTTAATCTCCCCTTGGCGTATCAAAATGCTCAAGCCAACTAACGTGTGATAAGTTAAGTATGAATACACGGATACAAAGTATTTATCGACTCATCGTACTCGATTAGAGTCAACTTACACCATTGAATTCAATTGCCATTGCCAAATCATTTGCTCTTCAACACCGCCTTTGCTAGGTTTTAACGCCAACTCATCCGTCTCCATCCCATCACATCAACCCCTGTCCATCAAGCGCTGATGGATTTTTCCAATGCGACTTCAATTTCCGTACTCATCAATTTGCAACAATCCTCGTTTGCAAACCTCGACTTAATGGTTCGTTCGCAGGGTAAAAGCTCATGCTATTATCATGCCATGATATCTATTCCACTAAGGCCAGCATTGCCTGGCATCATATACACAACCTCATTATCACGCGATAACACCTCCTGTGATGCCTCGCCACTCTCTTTTAAACGCTTCCTCATATGGCAAAGTTGCTCCTTCAGCCCACTCTCCCGCTTCGTTGGACAAGTGTTGGGGGTCACACGCCAACTTGACGATCGCCTCCATTGACAAGGGTCGTCATTATCCTTGCTTAGACGAAAAGACAGACTCGTTCCCATCCGCCATCCTCTCAAGTGAGTAGAACGAAGGGACAGTCTCGTAAACCAGGAGAAACTCAAAGTTCCCCTGGCGCTCCCTAAACAGCCAATGTTGCAGCCAATGTTGCAGTCATATTCGTATATCTCACTGCATTAAAGTATTGATTACGGGCTTTTCATGGCGCCCCTCTCGTATTTAAACGGGATCCTTCACGGGCTTCCAGGCGGTCAAAGCGGTTCTCGCCTCCCCCAGACCGCATTGATTGAAATTTGCAACCCTAGCCCAGTCACTATCAACTTCTAACCTTGAAAGGAGCACACTATAGGCAATTGTTTCGCGCCAAGGAAACAAACTAAAAAGAACCCATATTCCCAGTTTTGTTGGCCTCACCTCTGTTGGTGATTTCACCGCTCTCGTGCTCACCTTTTCACTCTTTCAAATATCGGCTGTTTTCGCTCAGAGGAGGAGAGTAGTATACGGATATCGTTTAAAAGTTTTTGATTTCGCAGGTTGGGAAAAGTAAAGGTAATTCAATTCTTGGAGCCTCTTTGACAACTCAGCCCTAACAAAGAGGTCAGAAACCTGCCATGCCTCTCGTTCCCAGCTCCGCACCGCTGCCCAGCAGCATGACCACTATTGCTTATCTGCGCGAGCAAGAAATCCTCAACATCGTTTACATCGGTCTGCTCGTCATTGAAGTTCTTATGGTTTTGGGCGTCATCACTATGGCTCTTGTTAAGCGTGTTAAAGTCAACCACCAACTCAAAACGATACGATCAGCAACCACTTCGGCAAAATACGCTCCCTACCACTTTGCGCATGCCGACACGGAAAAGACGATGTTATGACGACCCGAAAGATGACGAGAAAAGAGATACGAAGAAGAACGATAACCTCAGATTGGCGCTTGACCACTGTCGCGCACGATTACTACGATCATTGCATTTTATTCCTTTGTTCACCAACATCAACACAATATCTGCGCACTTTTTTCAGCATGACAAAGAGGAGAGGAGGCTGTTCATTATCTCGCATGGTTCCAAGGCGTAATGCGTTTGTTCACTTGCAGCGGAAGATATGACTTACGACTATTTATACCCAGACTTTCTAGTTAATGCCATTTATGTTTTACGTTGCCTCTTGATCGCCAAAACTGAAATATTGCAAAGCTGATACTAACGTCATCTTCTAAACTTGGAATCTCACCAGCTGCAGTGTGGCACTCATGGATCACGAAACAACCGTCATCTTGGACTCCCCTAACATTTTTGGCGACCGACCTGAAAGTCGATGCCCACACTGCAAGTTCTACCCTAAGCATGGCAAGAATAAGGTATGCGAAGCCTGTGAGTCCTTGATGGGAAAAGACGAAATCGAAGCCTTTCTCGGAGGCGTCGAACGGAACTGGTGTGTGTATCATCTAAATCGACAAGGATATCTACCCGGCCGCGCCGCCCTCGAGGATGCTATGCGTGCTCGATTAATTCAAGAGCAACGATGCATACGCCTTTGTTGCGCCGGACCGAAGTTACCCATCCATGTGCATTGCGAAGACTGCCGCGAGATGTTGCTCTGCAAAGGCGTACCCATCGCCGTCGCCAACAGAAAGATTTATGAGCTTCCACATTTTGATACTTTTCCAGGCTACGATGACGACTCTTTCGCAGTAAGAGTTGCTAAAGGTGAGGCGAGTGTCTACGAAAAGGACTGGAACTGGGATTGCTCGTTGGCAAAGTTTGTGCATCCCAACCGCAAGAGATTCGCAGGAAATATCAGCCCCGAGGAGATGGTTTGATGCATGCTTATATCCGAGTCAACAGAAAACTATGACTCTTTCCTAGTCATTTTACGGACTGATTCCGTGGATGTTCCAGGCTCAAGTGAGTCGTGGAGTTTTGAGGTCAAAGTTCGATCATTTAACTCAGGAGGTACGAACCCATCTGCCAGATTCCGGACTATTCATACACTTCTAGAAGGTGTCATGTCCGAGTCCTTTTATTAGAGAGGAAAAAAGACGCTGCCCGTTCGTGAACTCCTTGCTATCGCTTGACTCACTATAGACACTCATCGAGTTGTCAATTTCAATTTATATTGGAACCATAAACATTCAAATACCTGAACTAGCTTTTCGATAAATCTCCCGCTGTTTGATGTTGAATGTTTTGAGTAAACTGTCAGATATGATCTGATTATCATCAATGCACTATCTGTCAACCCCAGCCCCTATCTTTGTATCGAGTTGGACCATCGCTGCGTAATCCCGACAGAACCTTGCTTGGCATGAGAGGGGTTCTGATAGAAATACGAGAGCTGATGTTTCTTAATGGGAGTGCTTACTCTTGTATATAACGGCAAAACTTATCACTGGCGTGTAGGGTTTTAATCGTCTAGTTCAAACAGATTTTCAGGGGCTGTGTTGTTCAACAGTGCCATAGCGCGAGTATGTACAGTAATGTTTGAAGTGATTCAACATCGATTTTCAGGCCTTTCGTAAAACAAACAAGAAGTGTTGCGTCGATTAGTTGGGCATTCGCCTGTCCTGTAACCCTAGTTTGGACCTATGCATTCACATGCAGTGTCGACGCACAATTTTAGGCACAGTGCTGTTCCCAGAAAGTCTAGGAATAGTATCACTGGGTTTGGCAAGTAGTCGGAGCGATGAACACAGGCTTGCTTATGGCTTGGCCGATATGAACACCGTCAAGTTTTCCGCGGAAAAGAACTGCCGTGTTCACCACACATTCTGCAGAGGATCCCATAAACTCGGGAAAAGCTGATCGAGGTAAGAAGACTCCGCCATGGCAAAGCTAGAAAAGTCCAAAACCTCTTCAGCACTGGGGTCTTCAGGCGGAGTCATGGCGCGTAGCTTCTCAACAACGTCGGCATGTTGGGCCAAACAGATATCACCCAAATCCCAAGCATGCTTCTCTTTGTGTTCACGAAGAGCTGACAATAGGTCCGAGGCTATCTTCAACGAGCTGCTTTGAACTAACCCGGCTGTTGAGTTTTCTGTCTCTAGTGCGCATCGGAGAAGGAAGCTAACGGTTGTCGAAAATGCAAAAGCGCTGCTTGGCAGCCAGCAATCAGCCAAATGTTCGGGCTGTAATTCTTGAGTCAAGATGAGAATGTCCTCTGCAGTTCTCCGGGCTTGCATATAACGGTTTAGTAGGCGACTATCCCCTGTATCACGAACTCGCTTCTCAGCTTCAAGCTCGATTCTCTGTAATAGGAGTCTGACTGTCAGATACGACAGGCGAAGGTTGGCAGCACCAGGAATCTTTAGGTTGTTTCCACGAATGACAACCCGTCGGATCTCGTCACTTAGAGTCTCTATCCAATTATTCAGAGCCAATTCTAGATGTGTCGTATCTGTGGATTCATCTGAAAGGCTGAATTGGTGGACATGTCTCAGGTGTAAGTCCAGAACCTCTGTCAATCCGACTAGAGCGATATACACTGAAGCATTGAGAGCCTGCTCTGAAGAAGATCCCTCTCCACAAATGTCTTGGACGAGAGGCTGGGGCACATCGTTTAGAGTCGGAGAGATAAGCGGCGGTGTTCCATGCGAAAGACTCAACCTACCTACACGTTAAAGCTGCAAAGGGGGTTTCGTGCATGGCGTGTACGTACCATTTATCGTGAATCAACAGAGCCCACCATATCTTCATTCTGAGGTTCTTCTCAGACTGCGGTATTTCCCAGGATATTGGGCTGTGGTTGAGACCCAGTGAATGTGCCATAGCGACTGAAGACGCCAACAAAACGCCGTTTCCTATCAGAGAAGTCACTTCGCGACCACCTATATTCAGAATCAATGCTTCTATGGTGGATATTCCGGGAGATCTATGTATCTGGGAATAAGCTGCCTCAGTCGCAAGATTCCAGATGAAGCGCCCGTCAGGACATCGATGACGGGAAAGAATAGGAGAGCTATTCCAGAAGGTTATCGAGTGGGCGTACAGGCCACTGAGGAGCGCTGGCGATATGGCAGATTTGTTCTCTCTATATTGCTTACGGAAATGTCCTTCGTCAAGAAGAGGAAAGCAAGAATTAGTCTTGTGAAAATAACTGAGCGACGTTAGTAGTTGTAGCCTCAATCTGTTGAAGACTTACACGTCAATAAGATCACCGGTAAAAGGCTCCAATATCTTCTCTATAAGCTGCAACCTTTCCTCTGCGAAACTGAGGTTTGAATCCAACCCAACTGGCCGTTTCTGCACAGCAGTAAACAGCACAGGTCGAGACCTATTGCCTATGGCTGGCCTAATAATCCGCGAACCTCTTGAGGCACTGGGCATGGAAGATAGGTAGTCCGACAAAACCTGGTTATCGGAAGTGACTGCTGGCCCAACTATGTGGAGGTTGTGTGGTTGCTCGTCATTTGAGCCCAATGCCAAAGGTGAGTCATCGGATTGAGCGTTTTGCTGGGCCCATTCTGTGCTTCTTGGCAAAGTGGGAGAGATGCTTGACACTTGGTTCTCATGAGATGTGGTGTTTCTCGATGAACTGTTAGGCGCTGAGGTCGGAGCAGATTCTACAACAGACACTGGCTGCTCGATCGTAGAATTGTCTGAAATGGATACTGCCGGGGGGCCAGTTGCTAGGCTGATCTGACGGGGATTTCTAGTTATCGACGGCCTTGCTCGTCTCCGACGCCGAGGAGTTTGAGAACTTGAACGAGACTCCGTGGGAAAGATACAATCCGTGCGGTGTGCCCGGCACATGAGACAGCAGGTGGAAGATGCCTCGGACTGGCAGCGGGACTTGCGTTTTCGGCATGGAATACAGGCCGGCCGAAGATGGGACCTGTACGGCCGTTCATTAGAAGTTCCCTGCTCCATTTTGGTTTTTGGTAGCCAGAATGGAAGATGTCTTGCTGTAAGTTGATGGAGAATGCTTTCCGCGGAGTGTGCTGAAGCTGGTGTTGATAAGAGGAGTTGACTTCCCCGCGGGAAACTACCTAGCAACACAGTCCGCGTACAGTGTGTATGACAGTGTCAGTATAAGTCAAGAATGTTCTGAGGAGAACAACGGATTTCCAACGAAGCGATAGACGTATTATGTGTTTTGATCAAAATGAATAGCTATATTGATAGATACTTTTGATACTCACACCTATCAACGTTAGTCGCTTAATAACTATCGATAGCTCGGTCCCCTTTCGATGTCCCCTTATTATCTCCTATTTCGCAGTCATCGACATGTGCTATCGAAGGTGCTGCTGAGGAATTATGTGACTCGACATCTCGAGTCATCTCATGAGTAACCAAAATAGCACCATTGCCGTCGGTTTTGTGTGGGAAAATTTCCTCTGTGCTATCATTCTTGGTATGTGCGCCGCCAACAGCACGACTTGTCAATCCATATGCGGTGTTACCCTTTGACTTGCTCGGTAGGTAGCCATCCTTATGGTTCTGGTTGTAGCTTCTGAGCGGGATAGATCCTCCTGTCTTCTTGGAGCCGCTCCATCCTTCGTAGTTATTTGAACTTCTTCGGACACTCGAGAGTCCCAAGGCATGATTGAGCCAGGGGACCTTTTGAATGACTTGGCGAAGACACGGGATTGTGGAACATACGACGAGAGAGGCCAACTCTACTTGGGACCATATCATGGGCTCGGCAAATTCATCTAGACACTGTTAGAAGCGGCGAAAATGTTGTTTCACATGACTAACAAGTAGCATCAGGTCCAATTCGAGTGACAAAAATGATGCGAACAATCGAAGTGACGCAAACCCTTTCGTGGTCAGTAAAAGCTGTAACAGAAGAGAATGACAACGTACAATAAACCAAGGGATAACATGGCAATCAAGCCCAGCCTCTTTGCCACAGGAAGATGCAACCTCCACATGGCAGGAATAGGTTGAATAAAGAGGAACAGGTCGGTACACATGTTGAACACAAACTGTTGAGGCTTCGTCAACATATGAAACTCTCGCGCACGTTTCTTTTCTTACTCACCGTACACCACCAGAGAACACGAAGATCAAGACACTTGGCGTGTGCTGGACGGGGTACTGCGTAAGCTGCCATGACAGGCCGACATTGAAAGATAACAATGAGCGCTTCTTCTATAGCCTGCATTGCTAGAAAGACAATCAGGTATTTATTGAGGATGCGAAGAACAGGCTGAGGGTCAATCCGAAGATAAAGCACGGCGAATGACGATTTGGCACAGCCGATACCCAGGCTAAAGGTCGCGGAGCATCCTGTCGTATACTATGAACAACGGTTAGAAGAAGGATCAATATTGGGGCGAGAAAATCACTGACTCTGAGGAATTTCTCAAGATCTCGGTTCGACACTACATTCATATGCTTCCCGAATCCCACTTTCGAAGCTATTTCATGTCAGTCCGTCTCCTCCATCATGCTGAGTTGGGGTGCGCGAAACTTACAGAGAATTGTGCATATACAGAGTCCTGTCAAGAATGCCTATCAATCCCATATTAGTGGTGTAAAGATGCGCGAGACAACGTCTTATAATCCAAGAAATATTACCCATGCTGCTGTAATCAAGTCTGTTACATTGTCAGTCCTGTCGTTGCTGAGTTCTTCGAATTACTCCGGCCTTACAGTCATCTGTGCCAATCGTCTTCAGGCTAGATCTGATCCATAGGCGAGTACCAATAAACACAGTAGTAAGAGAAATGACCGTTATCGATGATGCAAGCAATGCCCCTGATAAGTCATCTCCCGCCATGACAGTATTGCGATGGGTCTTTGACTTATTCTTGTTGTTGTAGAGACGACGGTCCTCTTTGAAAGGTTTCGGGATGAAGTGTCTGTTCTTGAAAGCTCAAAGCTGCTCTTCAGATATATGAATACTTTTCACATTGCCAACGCTGCACCAAATCCGTCCAAATGAGCGAGGAGCTGGATACAAGCTCCTCCGAGAGAATGACAGACAGCTGTGCTGGGTGGAATAATAGGTAGTGGTAAACGAGTCGCTAAGCGGCGCCCTCTCGCGTCTTGTGATTTCTGATGGAATGCGGTGACAGAAAACCGGGGAACAAGGCCGTATAAGTCGTAAATCAATTAACCTTTCCGTCTCTGGGTTTGATGCCAGAGTCTTCAGAGTCAACTTATCATTACAAATAGAACGGTCCACGCCAAGTATCTGGCCTAGTCATGCCAGTAGCCTGCCGGGGAAGCTATCTACATGAACCGCCTGTCGAGGGACCGTTCATAGCTACAACTAACACGCGGTATGGCATCTAGTCACCGGTAAGGGAGGCGAAAATAGTGCACGGTCACAAAGACGAGGATGATGAATTTGCCAGTCTAGATCCAAAGGAAGGGCCCCGTTATGAAGGTGGTTGTTTAAGTTTCAGCCACAAGAGCCCGTTAGTTTTCGTACCAATACGAGCATGCCCAGACTGTCTCTTGTGGTGTTGGTCGTACCCATGGCTCAATGGGGTTCGGTAGTGACCTATCGATGGGAAGAACCGAATGAATTTAGTCTGACAAGCCAATTCTTCCAATACGCGATCGCCATGCGAGTCAGGCGCCAGGCTCAGCAACTGACAACATCACTGAAGTCTGCGACGGCCCCAGCGCCATCGAAGATCATTACCCTAAACTTCTGGAATACCCCTTAGCATTCAGGGAATGCATTTTTATCGTGAACAGTATCAATGAATATCCCGCCTATTCAAGACATGCATCCACCCATACCTATGAGCTTAATCTCTTGCGTAAGGATTACCTGTCATTTTTGTTATATGGGACTGTAACATAAGATCATAATACCTGATGAACACAATGGCAAAGTCTGTCGGCGAAGTTGATGCTGTTTATCACGAAAATAACACAGGGGAGCACTGAGAGCAGATCCAGCTGAAGACAAGGTTGCTGAGTCTTCACAAGTATGACACGCACGTGACCTCGCGACTTGTAGTGCTAACCATATGACGCAACTGGGCAGCCCGAGCAATCGCTCACACCAAGTTTGCGACAAGTTGCGCGCTCACTCAAAAATCACCACCTTCAGGTCAATTCGCACCATGACGCTAGAATGGTAGGTAGCAAACGTCCTGCGACAAGGGCTAGCGCTCGGAAGGGAGCTGCACCTTCAGTGCCAACTGGAGGAGAGATCTACCAGGATATGCTCGCGGAAGCTGGCGTGAATTCACGGGTTCGGTCATCACCAGAACGGCCTTTAAAGCGACGTCGTGCTGGGCCAAGCAGAGTAATATCGGAACCAGGAAAGACATCAGAAGTAGCTTCAAAGCAAACAGAACCAAGCAAAGCACCTCCAGCGCAAGTCGCGGACAAGGAAGAGGAAGAGGTCGATGACGATGAAGGCGAGGACATTGAGTTTGAAGATGTTGCCTTGCCCCAACCAACGATGCAGACTATGGAGCTAGAATCCGACGATGATGAAGATGAGGACATCATGTTCGAGGATGTGGACTTTACAGCACCTCTCCAAGAATTAGGCAAACCCGAAGAACCAAAGCCGTTAGAGCTCAATCTGACAGCGCATCAATCATCTACAACTCAGGTAAAGAAGGCTGCCGAGAGGCGTAAACCAATCAGCAGAGAGGAGCGCAAGACACGGATGGATATACATAAAACGCATCTCCTGTGTCTGCTGTCACACGCTGCACGTCGCAATCATTGGTGTAATGATGGCAAAGTCCAGGACTACCTGCGACCGCATTTAACGGACAAGACAGTCAATTACCTCACCCCTGGCGCACACCTTCCGCAATTTGGAAGGACTGAGAGTTTGAAGACTGGTCTCAAGCAGGCAGAGGGTGTATGGAAGACGAAGTATGAAGTTACCGAAAGGGGTCTAAGGCGTGCTCTATGGGCGGAAAACCCAGATCAACTCAAAGATGTAAGTCCAGCGCACAATCTAGGGGTCTCGGCTGACAGATGCACAGTATGAACCGCCAGATGATGTGGAAAGCTGCTTAGATCGTGACGATTTCCGAGAGGCGGCAAAAAAGCTACAAGGGTCTAGAGACGTTGGGGCACAGCTGTATTGCGCCCTTCTACGAAGTGTTGGCGTACAGGCACGTTTGGTGTGCTCTCTACAACCTCTCGCATGTACATCTGGAGCCCCATCAATGCCGAAACCGAAGCAAAGGCCGAAAAAGCGCTCGACAATAGACGAGAAAAATGCGCAAGTGCGGGCTACGATGGCTAAGTACCAAGAAATGGCCAGTGCTGGATATGGTTCACCATCTGGCAGTTCTTCAGCACGTCGAAGGTTGGGGCACCCAAACGCAACATCATACAACTTTACACCGACAATATCTCCCCCGAAACCTCAGCCAACTTTTGAAATTCGCAAGCGAATAAAAGAATCCCCACATCCTGTGTACTGGGTCGAGATCCTTGATGTCGGACATCAGAAATGGCAACCAGTAGATGCTATGGTTACTCATACCTTTTGGAAGCCAAAAGCCTTGGAGCCACCGATTACTGATAAGGAGAATTTCCTTTCCTACGTGATAGCATTTGATGAGGATGGGACTGCAAAAGACGTAACAAGGAGGTATGCGAAGGCATATACAGCAAAGACCCGAAGATCAAGAATCGACACAGCTTGTGAAGGCGGTGATATTTGGTGGAGACGGATTATGCAACTGTACGGCCGGCGGCGGCGGACAGATCTCGATCAAATTGAGGATAACGAACTCGTAGGTATCGAGGCGAGAGAGCCTATGCCAAGGAATGTACAGGACTTCAAAGACCATCCAGTCTTTGCGCTTGAACGACATCTTCGACGCCATGAGGTTCTTGTTCCTGGAGCCACACCTTCTGGAACAGTTGCTGCCGGTAGTAGAGCACCGCTCGAAAAGATCTACCGGCGGAAGGATGTTCGGATT